CTAACGTAGAAGATGGCATGTTGGATGCCGTCTTCCTCCCGGATGAGCACAGAGCTGATGGCTGCCGGGCTAACCCCAAGGTAGAGGTAGAGGGTCTCCCCTACCTTGGGTTTGGAGAGCACAGGGGGTGAAGATAGATATCTTTTCAGCTCGTCGAAAGCCCCCTGACATTCTGGAGTCCATAGAAAGCCAGCCGTCTTCCTCATGATCTGGAAGAAGGGTAGAGACTTCTCTGCCGATTTAGATAGGAAGCGGTTGAGGGCTGCCAGGCGGCCCGTCAACCGTTGAACTTCCTTCACGTTGCGTGGGGGCTCCATGTTGATGATGGCCTGGATCTTCTCGGGATTGGCCTCAATACCCCGTCGGCTCACCATGTAGCCTAAGAATTTGCCCCCTTGGACGCCGAAGGTGCACTTCTTCGGGTTTAGTCGAAGGTTGAATTTTTGCATGATGGCAAAAATTTCCCGGAGGTCGTCAGCATGACTGGAAGATTGCTTGCTCTTGACGATCATGTCGTCGACATAGGCCTCCATGGTGCACCCTAGGACGGCTTGAAAGACCCGGGCCACCATCCGGGTGTAAGTGGCCCCCGAGTTCTTTAGGCCGAAGGCCATCACTAGGTAGCAGAAGATGCCCTCGGGAGTCATGAAGGCAGTTTTTTCGGCGTCCTCCTCGTGCATGAATATTTGATGGTACCCTCGGAAGGCATCGAGGAAGGACATGATTTCACACCCCGCGGTCTCATCCACCAATTGATCAATGTTTGGTAGAGGGAACGGATCCATGGGGCATGCTTTGTTGAGATCGGTGTAGTCCACGCACATGCGGAAGGTAGGGGGCTTCTGGGAGAGGACTACATTTGCTAGCCATGAGGGGTATTTTACCTCCTTGATGTGCTTGATTGAGAGGAGCATGGCGACCTCCTTCTTCACAAATTCCCTTCTCTCGGCGGAGAGGGGTCTTCTTCGTTGTTGCACTGCTTTTGCCGAGGGGTCCACCGAGAGGCGGTGGGTGATGACCCTTCGGCTAATTCCCGGCATGTCCTCCGGCCCCCATGCAAAGACAGCGGAGTAGGCGCGGAGGGCGTCGGTGATACCGGTCTTCAAATCTTCAGGGAGCTGGGCTCCAATCTTCACGACTCTCTCCGGCTGGGCCGGATCGAGCGCAAAGTCTTCTACGTCCTCGGCCGGTTCAGCCCTCGGCCTTCTTTCCTCCTGGTCGACGGCTCCGGTGATGGTGTCAACACGGAGTTCCGTCTTGCTTACCTTCTTAGTGACCTGAAGATAGCAGGCACGGGCAATTTTTTGGTTCCCCCGGGAGTAGCCAATGCCCCCATCGGCGGGAAACTTGAGGCAGAGGTGCCTCATGGAGATGATGGCCTCGAGGTCCTCGAGGGCTGGCCGGCCGAGGATGATGTTGTGGGCGTAGTCAATGTTGACGACGACGAACTCCACCTCGAGCTGGGCTCTATGGAGCCCGTCGCCGAAGGTCACTGGGAGGGTTATTACCCCCTCGGAATCAATGGTGTCGCCGGTGAAGCCGGAAAGAGGGGTCTTAATGGGCCGAAGGGACCCCCTCTCCAGATGCAGCTCTCTGAAGGTGCTGAGGTACATTACATTGACGGAGCTGCCCGTGTCAACGTAAGTTCGGTGAATGATGGTGTCGTTGATCTCCGTTCGAATCACCAAGGCATCCCGGTGAGGAGAAGAAGTAAGAGGGAGATCTGCGTTGGTGAAGGTGATGGGTTCCTCCCTCAATCGCTTTACCGGGGGCATATGAGTGACTTCCCCTACGTAAAGCGATTGAGCCCACTTCTTTCGCTGGCTGGTGGAATCGCCCCCTGTGTTGCCACCGGTGATCATGAGGATGTGGCGTTTTTTCTCCTGGTAGTGGGGGTATTCCTCCTCCTCTTCTTCCAAGTTTCCAATCTCCCTTTTCTTGCCGAGGGGGATGGTATTCGGGTTTACCCAAGCGTTTACCTTCGTGTGATGCCCTCGGGGAGGCCCCTGATGAGAAGGTCCCTCCTGCCGAGGGCTCTGGACAAATTGGGACAGGTGCCCCGCTTGTATTAATCTCTCGATGGCCGTCTTCAGTTGATGGCAGTCATCGGTCCTGTGCCCCTGGTGCCGATGGAAGCGACAGTAGGGGAACTGAGGGTTGATAGCGTGTACCTCCGGGGGTGCGCGAGAATCGCGTTCAACGAGGCCCCTCTCCTCTGCAAAATCGAGGATGATGCTGACAGGGTGCGTCAATGGGGTCCGAGGGCGGTCCAGGAGAATGGGCTGGGCCCAAGTCTTAGGGTTGCTCCTATAACCTCCCCCGGGCTTGGCTTGGCCTTGCCGAGGGCGATCATCAGAGGGTCCCGAAGCCTTGGGGCGATTTGGAGGAGCCCCCGGCCCTCGGTTGTGCTTGTTGTCAGCCCTTGGGGGCTGCTGGTCCGGATGCTGGTGATACTTCTCCACCTCCTCGGCCTCAGCATATCTGTCCCCCCGCTGCAAGGCCCTTATGTAGTCGCGGGGGGGGTTCAATGATGAGGCTCCTTGAAAAGTTGCCGATGCGGAGGACGGTTTGTAGGAGGGCCAGGAGGGTCCCGTCATCAGCACCGTCGACCTTGTCGGCCTCCGTCCTCCAGCGCTCCAGGAAATCCCGAAGGGTCTCATCCTTCTTCTGGCGTATCGTTAGGAGGTGGGAGAAGTGCTTCCTTGTGCGACGCCTCCCGGCAAATTGTGTTAAGAACCGCTGGGCGAGTTCTTGCCATGAATCAATACAGCCCTCGGGCAGCCTGTTGAACCATTCGTATGCTGGTCCCTCTAAGGTGGAGAGGAACCAACGACACAAATATTCGTCTGACGCCCCCACCATCATCATGCTGTTCTGGTACTTGCTGTAATGCTCCTGGGGGTCCGTTTTTCCGCTGTAGGGCTGTATGTGTTGCCCTCGGTATTTCTCCGGGATCCGGGCCGCCAATACCCTTGGGGTAAATGGCGTCCGAGTCCGGAGCTGGATGACGGGTTCCCCGGAGCCCTCGACCACCTTCTTCTGTAGTTCCTCCATTTTGGCCATCATGGCCTCGTATTTGAGGTCTGAGTGAGGGGTGGAGGTGGTGGCGTGAGCTTTGTTGGACTCCATCTCGTCAAGCCGGCGTTGGAGGGCCGCAATGATCTCGTCCCGGGGGTCCCTCGGGAGGGTCTCCGCCCCCTGCGAACGAACCCGGGCCGAGTGGGCCTGGTTGATTTGGTCCCGAGCATCATCGGCATGAAGGGGTGCCTTGCCTTTGTCCCGAGGGGGACGCTCCTCATCTGCCCTCGAAACAGATCCCCCGCTTTCCTGGGGCTTTTGGAGTGCTTTCCCCCCGAGGCGGTCTTGGACCCCTCGGCGGTCTGGCCCTCCTCCGAGCCGGTTGAGGGCGGAAGTGCGGGGCCTCTCCCTGTTGTCATTATGGCGGTCCCGGGACTGAACTTCCTGGGAGGATGCTTCTTGGGCCACCACCCCCTCGTCGTTTCTCACCCGAGGGGTGGGATTTCCGAAGGGGTGTGGCAGAGGGGGAAGTATGATATTTTCCCCGATCTGAGGGTGAGCTGGAGCCAGGGTGCCGAAGGCACCCGGGTTCTGGGTGAGCGTTTGGATGAAGGCGGAGAGCGCCGATTGTACGTCGATGGTGAGAACCGGAGGGCTGACTTGGTCATCGCTCCGGTTTTTCTTCTTGGCCTCGATGCCGAGGCGGGCATCGGGGGCGTTTTGTTGGATCTGAAGGCGTAGGTCGACAGCCGCCTGTTCCAGCCCAGCGAGGACACCGCCCTCGGGAGCCCTGTGAGAGGCTTCGGGGGCGTTGACGTCGCCGAGGGGCAGGTTCTTGTCTTCTACGTTCTTTGAGTTGGCACGTGTTGTCCTCACCATTTTGATAGAGGGCTAGTGTTTGTGTTTGGTCGAGGGGGAGGGTTTCTTACTCGATTGTTCAAGCTCTCAACGAGAGCACCAAATGATGGATAGTCTACCCGGGGGTATATATCCGAAGGGTTATTACGGGGAATAACTTAGAGAGGAGTTAGAGCAAACAAGTAAATATAGAGAGAGAGTGTATTATAAATGTGGAGTGTTTTCAGCGTGGTTACAAATGGGGAAATGGGGGGCTATTTATAGCAGCAATAAATGCCGGGCAGGGACACGTGTCAAGCGCTCATTGGCCGAGGGGTCGCCTCAACTGGTTGGCGCTGGCAGCCGCATGTGACCGCATTTAATGCGGCTGTTGGATGGGACGTCTGTGCAGAGTACGGTGATCTGTACGTATGTGAGGCGAATATCTTGTCGAGTGAGATGCCTTCGGCCATAGATCAGTAACCGAGGGCTCTCCCACCCGATGGCACCCTGGTGCCGAGGGCTCACAATGCCGAGGGCTACTGTTTTCGCCGTTTCCTCCCAGTTTCCTAATTTGTTTGAGAAACCCGCTCTGTGATAATTTGGAGCCTTCGGCCAGGGGGCCGAAGGCACCCCTGTGCGTTGTGCGGGCTGCTCGGTACTCTGAGCGCTGTGATTTGGGCCTGTTGGGCCTTTTGGGCCTGTTGGGCCTTCGCTGGAGTAGTAGGCGTCTGTGGGCCGGGGGTTCCCGGGCCATATACTCCATCAAAAGTATAAAAAAATCTGATGTTTTAATTGTTGGAGTTTTATTGGATGAAAAACACGAAACTAAAATTCTTAATCTATGGAGCTTCCATAAATAACTGAATAACTGTAGGTGAGCCATAAATAATACTCCATTGTAAATATAGGATGTATAGACCGATGAAACAAAATTAATTAAATTAATCTAAGTAATGTTTTTCTTGTTTTTTCTGAATAATTATGAAATTAAAAAAATACAGGTTGTTTAAAAATAAAAAAATCTTATGTTTTTTTAATTATTTCAGTTTTTCAAAGGGTTTTGTAGGTGGACTTCCATGGGTGTGGGCCGGACTTCATGGATTATTTTAATTTATGATAACCGAAAACGGATTTTTTCAGTCGGTTCAGTCTTCCTTTTTCGATCGGGTCCGTTGAATGGGTTATTTGCTCACCCTTTATCACATACGGATTGTAAGGGTATCCCACATATAAACCCTATTTTCGCATCTATACGTTTACAGCTAAACTAGAGCATCGACGGCGGCCAGCAAGACGAGGAAGCAGAAAAATGGTGTCAGGATCGGGAATTCGAGCCCGTAGAGTGGTCGTGGACGCCAGACACCACATGTTGGGGCGACTGTCTTCCATCCTGGCCAAGGAGCTGCTCAATGGCGTGCGAGTGGTGGTGGTCCGATGCGAAGAAATCTGCCTCTCAGGTGGTCTTGTCCGTCAGAAGATGAAGTACCACCGCTTCCTCCGCAAGAGAATGAATACCAAGCCATCCCACGGCCCAATCCACTTCCGGGCACCTTCGAAGATTCTATGGCGCACAATTAGAGGGTAAATGCTTTCTCTGTAGTATTCGTTGTTCTGAAATGTATAGTTCTATTTCGATCATTTGCGCTATCTATTTGGTTAAAGTCGTTTAATCTACCCACTAACGTTTAGTCGTTTAGTGCGTGGATTCTACATATTGAGCTTTTTATAATTTGAGGATTGGGGATTTATAGAATGATTCCACACAAAACGAAGAGAGGAGCAGCAGCACTAGGACGATTGAAGGCGTACGAGGGTGTTCCCACACCTTATGATAGGGTGAAGCGGATGGTTATACCTGATGCCCTTAAGTGAGTTACTGTAACCATCATTTTTGTAGTGCATGGAAAAGCTTGATGTCTTTGATTGGTCTCATTAATGTTTAGAGCATGTACATCACAGGGTTTTGAGGCTCCAGGCTGGGCACAAGTACTGCTTGCTTGGTAAGCTGTCATCTGAGGTTGGCTGGAACCACTATGACACGATCAAGGTACACCACTTTTCTGTCTTTTCTCAATCCTTAATAATCTAAAAAGTATTGAAAACTCCCTGCAGCTCAAGTTTCTATGGGTAGAACAACTTTTCACGATCTAGGAAACGTTAAATTCCCATTTTGGTGTCATTCTCATAATTAAAAAGAATTGGGAAACCCGTTGCTGTAATTAATTAGTGTTATGTAAACTTTCAGTTTCCATTTTTTCTTTTTATGGAATTTATTGATAGGAAATAATGTCCTTCTAACACTATGCAGTTGTTCTTTATTATAACTTTTCCTGGCAACATGGTCGTTGTGGCATTTCATAATGCAATGTATTGCTAGACATGTATTGTATTTTATGTTTTGTTTATGCACTAATATGTAATAATTTCTAGATTTGAACATGAAGACTATTAAATATTGCTTTTTAGTTAACGTTATATGTCTAATTGTGTATAAATAAACTTATATAAAAACATGTATACTCTATGTAACACAAAGTGTATATTTACCAATATATCCTTATTTTTTTAATATATAAGCATTTCCCACATGTTTTGGTTCCTATATTTTTGTAAATACTGTTTTATCGTGTTTGATATTTTCCGTCTCATGTTTTGTGGTTCTATGCTGCTTGATTAATAATATTTATTAGAAGGATCCCTTTCTGGTGCAATTAGCTTGATCTGGGAATGGGAGATGCTATATGTTATTAACCTATAATTGGAAAAAGGGCCGACTTAAGTTGTGAAAGTATACCATTCTTAAGAGGCCAATCAGATGTAGTGTAATGAGTGGCTCTCACCCTTACACTAGTTGCAAGGCAGAATTAAATCTCATTTGATTGCTTTAAGTGGTTCATAATGCTGGTAAATTTGTTTATGTAAAGCGCAATCAGATTTTTTAGTCTTTGACATCTAAATTTCACTATCTGTAAAACCGATTTTCTGAAAAAGTAAGCAAGTTCTACCAAACAGGCCTTAGTATTTACTATTCCATCTAACACTAAGTATCTTTAAATGTCTCGCTCAGCCATCTTGCACTCACTTGTATTCTTGTCTTTTATGTACTTTACGGTCTTAAGCTCCTGATCCTCCCTCATTTCTTAAAATTCTTGTTTGCTTGTTTCAAATTCTTGTTTGGTTAGTCCAGTAAATTGGAGTCCATTTTAGAAAATGCACGTTGTGTTTGGAATCTAGACTGTATGGAGTTGATTGTGAAACTTGATATAAATTTTGAGTAACTAATTCATTGTGTCCTTTTCCAACAACAGGTCCTCGAGGATAAGAGAAAGGAGAGGTCACAAGCGGCATATGAGAGGAAGAAGCAATTGACAAAACTTAGGATCAAAGCTGAGAAGGCTGCTGAGGAGAAACTTGGTCCCCAACTTGACATCCTTTCAGCTGTTAAGTACTGAACTGTGTTTTTGGTTCATGCGTAGAGATTTTGCCAGGACGTCTTTCAGGTTTCAGCTGATAATGGTATCAAAGGCTGATCTTTTTTACTTTCATTGTGGTATTTAAACTTTTTTACACCAGAGTACTTGTTTGTTCCAGGCTGGTTTATGATTGTTTCCAAGTTACGTGCGTTTGAAGTTTGGACTCATTTATGCAAGATTTTTGCAATGCTGTAGTTTTCCCTTGCAATTGTTTTCCCTATATGCAATTTTTCTCTCTATATGCAATTATTAGAGTGTTTGGGTGAAAGTGCAGAAGTGGGTTTTTAGAAGCCGAGGTGATAGTAGGCTTGGACTCGGGCCGGGCCCGCCGGTTCCGTATCCATAGGTCCGAGACCGGCCTGGGTCTTGACCGGTTCCGGTTCTTTTTTTAATCTTATTTATTTCACCCCCATCCCCCCCAACCCCAAACCCCTGGAAAATACCCAGCCCAGCCCAACTAACCCCAGTCCAAACCAAAAAAAATCAAAAAAATAAAATAAAAAAGGCCTGAACCGGGCTGGGCCGGACCGGTTCCCCTTTTCCCTTACCTGTGCCCGGAACCGGTAGACCCCCCGGGCCTAGGCCTGAACCAGAACCGGACCCGGTTTCCGGAAACAGTCGCGTGCCTTGCCGTTTCCTGACCGGGTGGCCCGCATCGAGTCCAAGCCTAGGTGATAGGCTTTTGAAATATGATTCTGGTTCTACTTATTTTTATGGATGGACCCGGGCCGGGCCCGGTTGGGCTTTTTTTGCAATTCCTTGGGCCCGGAACCGGCCCGGGTTGCTACCGGGTCCGGGCTGGGCCTGGTTCAATACTTAATTTTTTTGCTTTCTTGTTATCCCCCGACCCCCCCCCCCCCCCTCCCCCCCAAACCTCCCCAAAACACCCAGCCCAACCCTACGGCTACGAAAAGAAAAAAATTGAAAAACAAAATTTTTTTTTGACCCAGACCCTGCCTGAACCGCCCGGGCTGGTTCGCCCACAACTGGGCCTGACCCTGGCCTGACTGACCTGCCCACATGGGTTAAAAGCCTGAAACTGGCCAAGCGGGCCCGGTCCGGTCCGGGCCCGCACAGTAGCGGTCTGGTCCTGTCTGGGCTGGTTCGGCCCGGCCCAGTCCACCCCTACTTATTTTAAAGGGAAATTTCTTATTATATGACTAAAACTCAATGACTTTCCCACCCAATATATGACCAAACTTGGCATGGACCAGTTCCGGTTCGGGCCTCGGTTCAAGAAGGGGAGGCCCGGAACTGGCCCGGGTAACCCTCGGGCCGGGCCTCGGTTCTATTTTTTTTTTTGGCTTTCTTAGTTAACCCCCCCCCTCCCCCTCACCCCCAAACCAACCCTAACCTTCTGAAATGACCCAAAATACCCAATCCAACCCAAAAACTTAAAAAAAATTCAAAAAAAAAAATGGTCTGGCCGGGCCCGAACCGGCTGGGCCGGTTCACCTTTTGAAGGGCCCGAGCCCAAACCGCCATCCCACCGGGCCGGTTGCCCGAACCGTGCCCGGAACCGGTTCACCGGGCCGAGCCGGGCTCGCACAGTAGCGGACCAGTCCGGTTCCAGGCCGGTTGGCCCGGCCCGAGTCCACCCCTAGACCAAACCAGTTTTTGGAATTTTTTATGACCAAAAAAAAGAAACCACATTTATAATTAATGGTTGAATGACGAAAATACCCTTATTTAAAATGTGTGAATTTTACATTAATTTCGTCCAATTAAAATTACTTCATTTTATATTGTTGTTACTCCACGACATTACTTCACGATATTATTGCACATTCAATAATTATCATTGCACTTATGTCAAAATTAATACTCTTCTTATTCACTTTATGAAATTATTTATAGTTTTTTTTTTAAATTTAATAATTTTATTATTTTATGTCTAATTGAGTATATTGCGTTTCATGGTGGCTTACCTCACTATTGGGCATATTCAGTGCACAACAAACTTTCGTAATGCATTCATTCAATGCCATGTATAACATACTCCCTCCGTTCTTTATTAACTGTCTCGCATTCCTTTTCGGGACATTTTTAATTATTTGTCCCTCTTTCCCTTTTTGGTAAGTTTTATCAATCAAAATACCTTTATATCCCCCATTTTATTACCATCACCCCTTTCTCTTTCCTACTTTTTCATTTACCCACAACCCACTACACCTTTTACATTACCCCCTGCCTGAGTCCAAGAAGGCCATAAAGTAGGGAGTTCAATAAGTAAGGCCTGCCAATCATGTCATTAGCTCATTAGTCATCCTTCTGTACAACTGGATGAAACGAAGGGATAGCAGGGACGACAATGCAAGAGTTGGAATTCTTACAGGGGTTAGGTTATCACTTATCACTAGACGTGATTTCTTAATTTAAAATCATGTAAACATTACAAGTCCGATCACATGAAAACATAGAAGGCTGATAGATAATACAAGGTGTTCCATTCGTCCCACAACTTTTTCCCTATCCTTTTGAGATGCCCTAAAATATTTTTTTGGCATTTGTTAAATAGTAATATATGTGTGATTGATGTTGTTTTCTTTAACATCAAACACAATGACACAAATTTGTTTCTTTGTAAGTTTGCCAAATCAAGCTACTAGGAAGAAAATTTTGGGACGGAAGGAGTAACTTAACTGACTACTACACACTTTACAAGCAATAACTATTGTTTATAAGACAAGAAATTATGAAGATATTGGACTGCAAAGATCATGTTCCTTCTGATAGCTTAGAATCAGTTATTTGTGACTGCTTTGTGGGAGAACTGGACCCCCTTGAAGATGTACCCCCAAAAATATTCAGTTTACTCATCTTTTTGGAAAAAGAACTGGCAAACCGCTTAGAGTTTGACTTCTCAATATTCCTCTTCATAAACACGTGCTCCCTCTCCAAATCATTCAACCTCATCCTCATCCTGGTTAGTTCTAGCTTCAACTCCCTATTTTCCCGTCTGAGAGACGCGTAGTTGTCTTTGGGTGATAGGGCAGCACTAAGAGCGCCACTGTTGATCCTCCATGACTGTTGGATCATTGGTGGCTTGGGATCATCATCAGGACAAGGGCTAAACATTGAGTTCCGTAGCTTCAACTGCTCGAAGTAAAGCACTTGGACTATGGACTGAAGCGGAAGGCGTTCGTTTTGTGCCGCGTGTGCACAAGCTTCATGCGACAGCTTTTGGAAATCTATCATCTTGCACACTCTTCTCTTGTCTTGATCTGACAACCCTCCATGAGCCTGCACTATGCACTCACATTCATAAGATAAGAAGATGATGGCACATACACTTGCCTATTCTAATGCCACATTCTAAAGAATGTGAGGTAACAGTTGAGCTACAAAGGGAAATTGCATATATTTCAGTTAAGCATATAAATATATTTCAGCATTCAAAGAGATTTTTTTTATACTTATTCCAGTTGTTGGGACAGAAGCATTTCATAATGGTTATGTATAAAGATAGAAATTAACATACTCCGTGTATAAGATATTGAAATAGCCCAAGCGTTAATAACACGATGCTGCGTACCTTGAGATAAATATCGATGGCTCGATAGAGACTGTCATGTACCGTTCGAGCATGAGTAGGCAACGTCTCTGCAATGGCTATAAACTTACTAAGTTTCAAGTTGGCATCTGGTGCAATTTCAGCAAGGTAATGATCCAAAAGTTTGGAGACTTTGAAGAGTGAAGTTTGGGAAGGTGGCAAAGGAGTATCACACTCATCAAACACGTCAGATGACCCGTCTTCCATACCGTCTTCATCACTCTCATCCTTGTGCTGGAAAAAGCAGACCAATATCCTATGAACCGTGTCCACGTCAAACAACGTGTCGCCAGCGTGGCGAAACGAAGGGATCAAGAGATCATCCAACGTGGCCATCTCTAACTGGGACCCAATCCTCCTCTCAAGATCAACCCTGCAAGTCACTGCACAGTCAAGTGTCACTCCACTCCTCAAAAGCCCAAATAAAAACCCAATGGGTATCACGCACTTCTCGTCTGGAAGAAGGCCCACAATCGCTTCCACAACCTGCTTCTCATTTTCGCTCGGGCTTTTCTTGTTGAGCTCTTTCTCGGCATAATTGACCAAAGAGGCGGCGATACTTTCCGGCCGAACGCCGCGGCACTTCATGGCGGCGATGACCCTCTGATAGAAGTCAACGCGAAGAACAGAGAGATCCTCTATCCACCAGTCCCCTTCACAGCTCGCGTGGCGACTCATATGGAGCCGACCCGACCCGCTATATTCTAATCTTGAGAAACTTATGGCGATTTGCTCGGCGCAAGCTTTTGAAGCTATCGCGTCTATGCAGCGGGGGACGATGTTAAGCTCGTCGGCGAGTGGGAGGAGGGTCTCGCATTGGGTGAGAACTTCGAGGCACAATTCGAGTCTCTTATAAACGACGCTTTCGAGGTACTCTTGTGTTCGGGATGAAAGGTTGTCACCGGAGTAGTCGTCGGTCATTTCGAGGTAGGCGGCGGCGCAGGAGAGGTGGGCGACGTTTGCCGGCGTGATTTCGAAGCTGACGCCGTAACAGAACTTTGCAGCCATTTCAAAAGATTCGGCTCCGCCGGGTAAGCTGACAAGCTGAATTCTTGATATGCCCGAGTTCCTGTATTCTGATGTCAGTTTTCTTATCCGGCCACTCTTTGTCACCAGGGGAAACTGCACAAAATAATACAGTACAGAGCATTTTGCTAGGCATTAATTTAGGCTTAACTTATGTAAATCATGTTTAGATATCTATTTCATACTTTTTTTTTAAATTCTTTGTTTTGCTTTTAGAAATTGTAAAAAAATCACATTTTTGCTTTTTCGGTGGAAATTAAGGGTCCATTTACTAACAGACATATTTTCCAGTTTTTCAGAAAACTGGAAAACTAGAAAACAGATATTATATTGTGAAGTTGTATCAGGGGTGCTTAACTCTGTTTGCAATAAAAGTGGATTATATGCGAGGGCAATATCAGTTTTAATATCTGAATTAAGAACTTTTAACAGATATTAGTAAGGTTCTTTAACAACTACTGTTGATTTACACTTGGCAGAATCAGTCAATGATGAAAAATAGTGTAAAAAGTTGTTTGTTTGACAGAAGCTATTGAAATGAATGAATTTGAGACTTATTAATTGTTTTTGAGATCTTATTATATTTAGTTCATTAAGATAATATGTTTGAGTAAATTCTCTAGTAATTCAACTTGTTTGGCCAATTCAGTAATTTCAAGCAACTTCAAATATTTCAACCTTGCCAAAAGGGTTCTATTTCTGTAGGCCCTTTCCGCAAGAACCAAGAAGTGTTTTTGCTGGAATGATAGGGTGTCTAGATTTTCAGAAAGGAACAGCTTTTGTCAAATCCAGTTTCAGCATTACTATAAGCTTAAGATAACAGAAGATAAATCTAAACCAGTATTTGACTCAGAGTAAAAATGGAAGGATTTTACCTTGTGTAGTGAAAAGATTGACCCATCAACTTCTATTGTAATATCACTAGGTACATCTCGAAACACCCTGCATAAGGTCATTCAATTAGCAGGTCCAATTTTCAGCTAAAACTAACATACATTACAAT